AACAGGCCTAGATACAAGAAGAACATTAGTGGGCAAACATTTTATTAATTGAATAAATGATGTGCTGATGCACTGCTGTGCCAGCAGGATACCAGCTGCCTGGGTACCACTGATGTAGGCAACACCATCATTATCATCAAGGTCCTCTGTATATCTTCTCTAGACAATTAGTTCAATGTGTGTAGTGCTGACGAACCCCTCTCAAAAGGAGCACTCATGGTTTTAAAATAGCCTCACTGACTGCTGCTCAGCCTCAATCAGAACTGGGCTCGACTTCCTGTTATCTGCCGTCTCACCACCAGCTGCTGGTGCCACCCTCTAAATGGTCCAATGGGTAAACATTGCGACTGTAATCACTTTTTCCTGGTGTGTACATAATTTGCTGTTGATCCTTTTTACTAGTGATGCTCATCCCTCCCTTACGGCTCTCCAATTTAATTACAGAAATATTTATTTTACTGCAGAAACGAGTTAAACTTCCATACAAAACCCCTTTTATTTAATTTTTTTCTACAAGCGTTAATTGTTTTATAATCAGCGAGGGAGCAGAAGTTGTTATGCAGATGTCTGGTTGTGGAAAACCAAAATCCTTATCCTGATGGTTAAGCAGTGATCACTGTGGTGGTTTGGGGGAAAAACACCCCGGCATGTTTACCTCAAACTGATCAGCTGTGAAAAATGTGCTTCATTTGGCTGAAACAGCTTGTGAAATGAGACGCTCATTATTATTCCACAGCCTCCTGCACAATAATGTTAACAACTCTAAATCAGGTTTATTTACGTCACCGCGTAACCTAAAGATAATTCTATTAAATGCTGAACGTTTTGGATAAAGATTGTTACTCAAATGCAGCATTAGTCCAGGTAAGGATGCAGAGATTCAAGTCTTAATGGATTAAAAGCAGTAAAGACGGCTGAGAAAGTGAAACCAGCGTTCCCAAGCACAATAAGGAATGATTTAAGGTTGGAGATTATTGCAAATGTTTCTGTGTTTGCACTGATGGAAAATGCAGCCTTGTGTGATTTCCCTCATGTAGAAAAGGTAAGCTTGAGTAAACATAAGCAAATGTGGGTTTTATTTATCTGATCCAAAAAGAATAAAGAAAAAAATAGATTTTCCTTCATTTGAAAGAACTCAATTAGCCTCCTACTGATTTTTAAAAGAGCAGCTGTTATGAGAGGATGTAACTAAAATTCAAAATTTCAATTATATTAATTTTATCAAATTAGACGACACAAGAAATGAGTTGGAAAAAAATGTTTACAAGTTGATTCCATTTGTGTGTGTGGCATTTCCTCATCTGTGAAATTACTCCACCAATAATAATAATTTAGAATGATTAATTTAGCCTAGAGTGGATCCTCATCGTTCTGCATGCCACAATAAAGAATGGGAAACTAGAGAAAACTGTTTATTGTGCAAACTTGTTGGTTAATAAAATCATTATGCCTCTCAACACACTCTCCTTCCCAGATAACTATTAATATGGCAGCTGCTCCTTTGAGCTGCAGCTCTTAAACTTGGTTTACTGGAAGTCACTTTTGTGACTTTCAGACCGCGTGCTTTAGGCTCAACCTGCCTGGTTAAATTGTTTATCTTTATGAGCTATACAGCTCCGAGGAACAAAAAAAAAGTTTATTATTGTTAGAAGGCTAAAAACGTGATAATTCACAATCTAATATTGGCCTTTAGGAAACAAAGATTTACATTTGTACCCTTTAAGATCAAATAAGCAATCGATGAAGCGAGGAAATCATCATCACATCTATGAAAAATTAAAAATGGTCAGGTGCAGCCTTAAAAAAACATAAATCCATCTTCTTGAGAAAAACCTTCATATGCAGGCTTTCCAGTTTTGTAAATGAGACATTATGCAGATTCGTAATGATTTACCAATACTCCAATTCTTCCATCAGCTATTGATCTTTGGTGAAATGCAAAATGAGCATGTGTGTAATAGCAAGCCTCTAGGTAACCTTGCTCTGTTCCACAAGGTGAAACATGTCTGTTAAGGTATTCCATACACTACCAGTGTTGCTGGAGATTTATCCTACTTAGCTTTTCTTTCTCTGTCATGTATCGGGAACTAGGTAAAGTTGGGCCATGACCTCTCATTCATAAATGCAGTTATTGTTAAATGAGACATTTTTTCAAAAGCATGGTTCTGTTTCCAAGGGCTAAGCTGTGTTTTTCCATATAGCTCCTTAAAGGGGCATTATGGAAGTTTGACAGCCAAAACATGTATAGAAATAATAAATGTCTTCTTCATACATTCTCCTGCAATGCCCTGGTCCTGTAGAATGAGCCCTGGCATTTTAACTGTGATTGCCTGTTTTTCTTTAAAATCACAGAAAAAGAGAGCTGCTCGGGTCGAGCAGGCTGCTTCTTGTATGTTCACGCTCAGGCATAGCCCGTAGCATTTGCTATCAGTAGCTTTAGTATCAGAGAGAGAGCTAGTCGATGGTGCCAACTCAGCGACTTTGTCGCTGTTCCTAACGCCTAGTGACGAACCTAGCTACATTTCTGAGGACCCTTAGCTACTTTCTGTAGAACTTTCTTCTGGATATTTCCTGCAAATTAGCAACAAAACAGCCATTTGCGCACTGAACCGTTCTTTGGTTTGACTTTGTTTCAGGTGTTATCAAGGATATAAAAGTTACAGATGAAACGAATGTTACTGGTTTATAGCTCACCTTGTAAGATGTCTGACTCTCGTGCTGAAGACCTGGGTTTGATTCTGGGTGTGAACATAGTTTATTTTACAGTTTCTTTTTTTACATTAATGGTATATTTTTTTTACAGTAAGATGCCCACATTTTTATTTGAGACTCGCCAAACGGCATTGAATTCACAGATAAAAAAAGATGTGGGTTCAACTTTCATTTTGGAACATTTTTTCAAGCAAGGGAAGGGAATGATCTGAGCATGCAGGAGGACTGACTCATCTTAAACCTTTGTCGGCTGTGCTGAAGAGAAAGGTACAGAACCAAATTATTTAATTAATTAGCTGCGCGTTCTCCTGTCTGCCCCCCCCCCCCCCCCCCCCCCCCCCCCCACACACACACACACACACACACATACACACACACGGGACTGTCTCAGCTGTTATTTTTGTTAAGGAGTGTGCACGTACAGCATGCGCGCCTCGTGCACGAGCCTACTATTGAAGCTGCCGTTACGCTTTTGGCCTGAGGGAGCAATCGCGAGCATAAAAATTCAAAGTCCGTAAAGTCCCTTTAAAAGGATATCTTGGCTATGTTGAAGTGAGTTTCTGTGTAAAAGCTATAAATAATTACAATCACACCCATTGTTGATGGCTTTCTGAATGACCTCTGAAATAAGAGTTGACACTTACAGCTAGTCAGAATGCCGCTAAGACCAGACGGTGTAAAAGCAGCTCAAATGTCCAAATTTGTACAATGATTTAATATATTTTATTTTATAAACCTGTACGTCACCATTAAAGCTGCAATAGCAAATCTAGAAAACAAGCTAGCTTGGAAAACGCACCCCTCCCCTTGTGTATCTTCCCTGGGCCACGTCCACCGGAACCTACATTGCCAGAGGAAACAAGAGAACGCTAAACACCTGTTGCCGTTTTCTACATCCAAACATCTTTTGTTGTCCGTGACTTCAAACAATGCTTTTCCTTTAGTGACTCTGGTAGTTTGTCCTTAAGTTGAAGTGGTAGCAGCCGGCTTTTTCTCCCTCTCTGTTATCATTGAACACCAGTGGTGTTCTGTTGCTAAATAGGCTAATACATTAAGAGTAAAGGACCCAGAGAAGCGTGGCGGTTCGGTGAGACCGATAACCGGATGATCCAATAGTTGCTTTTGGTCTGAGTCGTGTTGCTGGCGGAGGTTTTGAGACAAATGTGAAAGGACCAATTCATTCATTTAAAAAAATCTCCACAATATATTATAGCTATTGAACGCTGTTAAGCGGCATGGCAAAATTTTTTAAGCTGGCTTGTTTTTGTAGCTATAATTTCTTTATTTAAATATGTTCCAATTTTACCAAAAAATAGAATTTCGTAATGTTTGTTTGTTAACATGGAATCGTGTGGTTGAAAAAGATGAAAAGATTATCGGTAGCTGCTAAATGTTGCTCTGTTTTATCCAGGTGCACGTGTGGCAGGAAGTTTCTAAAATGTGTGCCAAAGTGACCGTGTAATGACAGTTGCTTAAAGTAGTTATGCCTTGTCAGTCTATGAAATGATTCCTATGAATGATGAAATAGAATTGCGTTTAAGCAGCAGTAGATTTTTTGGTGATTTCGTAGATAGCATTATGCTAGTAATTTCCTTCACAATTTACATCATTTTGAGGCTATATTGCCCCTTACTTATTTAAATGTTACAATGTTGAACAAACCTTTGGAGATTGGAGTAGTTGAAGGCAGCAGCACACTATGGTTTTTGCTAGGCCTAACTAGTGGTTAGCTTATCAGCCAAACTCTGTTGGCCTGATCAGAGGCTGTTCCAGGAGCTATCTAGAATGAATAAAATTCTAATTTTATAGGTTTTAACCATGACGTGTTGAAACATCACCTCAGAAAGAATGGGCAAGTCAGTCACCGACTCTAGAGAGGATCACAGTGTTTAAAACCTTGGAAAACAAAGGAAATGCATTCAGTTGGCTGCAGTTTGTAGCTTTACAGCTAGATGTCACTATATTCTACATTTTACACAACTTTGAGGCCATATTAGGGCTGGGCGATATGGCCTAAAATCAATATCACGATATATTGAGGGTTTCACCTCGATAACGATAAATGGACGATAACTACAGGTATGCGCAGAAAAAAAGTTGTCCACTAGACAGGGCTGTCACATGTGAAACATTGAGTCTAGGGCTGCAACTAACGATTATTTTCATAATCGATTAATCTGTCGATTATTTTTTCGATTAATCGATTAATCGGTTTGTTATTGTTTAGCTATTTAACCTATACAAAAGATGAATACATTTCAGTTAAGAAAAAGAAAAACATAAGAGAATTTTGCAGTTGACTGCAATCTATTTTATTGCACATGAACACAGTCAGCGGTGTAAAATGAGCTAAACAGTGCAAAATATCAGTCCAGAATAATTTTTTGGCATCAAAATATAAGAGGTAAATTCCATAAAAAATAATGTAGAATCTGGAATAGAGTTTGTAAGTGGTATGCATTGCTGGGGGTGAGTGTCTTGTTCCCCATGTAGTTGTCCATCGTTGCTTGTTTTTTTCTGCATAAGAAACACAAATAAACTGAATTAAGTACACATATAAAATAAAGCAGCACACACACTACAACACTAAATCAATATTACATTATTTGAATTAATTAACAATATACAGTGATCATTTAATTTGACAAAAATGTGTTGTGAGGCGTTTTACGGCGTTAGATAGTAAAACAGCCTTTTAATAGTTAAAAAAAGGACTTTCTGAATTTCTCCTGTATTTAAAAATTGAAAGCGTACAACTATGCCGCGTTATATTCACCTGGACACAGCTCGTCTGTATATTTTTCACCGCGGAGTTGTCCTTTTTTGAATGAGGAACATAGTTATGGGTTTGTGCCGTTTTTCTCTTAACGAGAACATTCTTATAAACAGACGTGCTGAATTTGGCAAGCGCATGATTCACAACACGGAGGAGATTCACGATTGCATCTAGTCAATCAGAAGTAGAACACCGTAAACTGACGCGGCAAAAAAAACATGTTTAACATCCACTATAACGAACTCAGCTAACACTAAGTCCCAAATGTGATCTGCGTTAGCTTGTTTATTTTCTGTTACTTACCGGACATTCCTCTGCTGCATCAGCCCCCACGTTTTCATCTCAAATGTTCACTTAGGGACGTCGTGCTTCCGTCGTGCCATGGTTTTTGCATATTTTGCAGGTCACCGGTCTTTTCAAGGCATCTAGTGAAGTGCTCCCATATTCGTGAGGTTTTTGTCCGGGGTTTCTCTTGTTTTGTCGCTTCTATTTTTCTTCCGTATTTCTTGTTGATCCGCCATCTCTCACAGCAAGATGAGCGTCAGTAACGTGATACGTCATGAAAACCGAGGGCACTTATTGGCTCATTTCTTCTTCTACGGCTCCACTGGTAGATCAGTGGCTCATTACTGCCACACACTGGCGGCAAATTTAACAGATTGTAACCGATGTCAGATTGTGGTAAAAAATAGACGTTATGCGGTAAAATATGATTATTAAACAACTAATCGATGACTAAAAAAGTTGTTAACTATTTTAATAATCGATTATAATCGATTAAATCGATTAGTTGTTTCAGCTCTAATTGAGTCACATTTTTACGTGACTCAAGGTGGTACATCTTAAAGGGACATGAATGTTGCCAACCTACACACATCTTTTCATTTTTTCTATTATCAAATTTATTGACGTGGGAAAATAATCCCGATAAGAGTCACACATTTTGATAAAGATACATTTTCGATTTATTGCCCAGCCCTAGGCCATATGTACAATTAAAACATTACAGCAGCCTTTCCTTAATTATCCATATTCAGATCAACATCAAACACACATTAGCATGAATTTCTGTGCCTTCGTTTGGTGTTGATGGTACAATGAGCAGCACATATGTGAGATCAGGGCGAACGAAGGCTTATGTGTCCACTGGCTACATCGATTTCCAGTTGTGCCACGATGTTGTCATGTCTCTTCAGGGATTTTCATAAGTTTCAGAAATGGAGCACCCTCCAGCAGTCTGCTCTGTAGCAACCGCATTCCCAGAGATGTTGGCAGTTGCTTTGGGGGCTTCTTTTGCTTTTATATAAGAGACACACTTCCAGCTCATATATAATCAATCTGCCAAGGAATATTTAATGGATGTGTTTTCTTTTCTTCTTTCTTTAATTAATACAGCTGCTTTAATCAAAAGCGAAACAGCAGATTTTCTTTCTCAGTCTTTACATATCTGTGTTAAAATTTAATAACAAATGAAAAACACGATTAAATATTAATACAATTTCTGTTGTCCATTAGTATTTAAACATTCGCTGCTGAAACTCGTGCTTTAGAAAAAAACATCAGTCTGGCAAAGACTGTTCCAGTGTTATAAATACATTGCAATATGGCAAGGGAAGCCTGGAGTGGAAAAGAACGTCATATGCCTGCTGAATATTAGCTCACTTTCTGACAGTGGAAATATGATCGCAGTGCCTGGAAAGACTGAAAACTCCCATTAAAGGGAAATATTTCAGTCAAAGTGAGACGCACCTTCCTAAAACATTGTTTATTTTGTGAGAAAACCTTGATAATTGGACATTAACAGTGATTAAGCAGTTTATTTGTCTAACTTATGCTAATCAAGGCAATCAGTCATCGCTTTATTACTTGATGCATATGGTTGAGTTCACTTAGTCTTTCAGCCAAGACACTCAAAGCTGGTCACAGTAGCGTTTTAATCATTCACAATGACTCACAGCCACTTCACTCCAGATCAAGACAGATTTCATCTGTCTCGGCGACATTAAACCCAAAACACACACACTCTCTAACTGGATTTGACCAGGTGGGTTTGAAACAGGGGAAGAAAATTGCCATTGGGGGAACCTAGTGTACTTATTTCCTGCGCTTGGTGACAATAGTGATTAATATCCAGGCAACAAGACACTTTCACTGAAGGACATCTACTGCACTGGAGGACTTGGCCATATCAATAAATGTCCTTTGTCCTTCAGTTGCTATGTCCGCTTCCCCCTTAACAATCTTGCCGCGATGTGATACTGTGTCAGCTTTACTTACAGCTGAACTGTCAGTCAATGCTGCCCCGTGGAGAGCGGAGACAATGGAAGCTTCAGGCTCCTCTTTCCTTTATTGTGTTATTGTGGGTCAGCAGACCCTCTCTGTGTTTTCTTTGTGCTCATGTTTTTCTGTGACTGTCTTTTTCTTTTTCTGACACAAGGAAACAAAAAAAAAAAAAAATTCTAAACAGGCAGTCTCTAAATGCAAACGCTATCATAAATGATGACCACGATCAGTTAAGAAATGGGATTATAGGTTACACACGTTTCATCAGCTCGGGGTGCTGTGCTGAATTTAAAAAAGGCTTGTTTAAATGGGAATCCAGGTGTGTTTGAGGATTTAAATTTTAACCTTTGCACAAGTTCAACAGTTGTAGAAAGTGAAATTTACCTTTTGCTTCACAGTAAGTGGATGTAATATCTTTTATTAGTATTCATGTGAGTTATATTAGAATTGGGCCACTGAAGACACGTTCAGTATAAAATAATACACTCAGGCTTGAGATTGATCAGATTTGTTGACAATGAAATACATGAGCATTTAGCTGTAGAGAGAATAATGCTTAAAGCCCAATATTTAGTCATGGAAATATGAAAGCATTTATGGATATGTGTATTTTATTATGGAGGAAAGACAAATAAATATATTTTTCATAACTTTTTGTGTTTTCTATTAAAACTATCCATTTTCTTTATCTTTGTTCTTTTTATTTATTATTGTTAGATAAAAATTCCCATTCTATTATTGCTTCGTTTTAATTGTGGGCACTATAGATAACCAAAGCATGAGTAATTGGTCCCACTCAGGGGTTGCTGAACCTCACTAATGCATCTTTAAGAAGAATAACAGAGGTCATCTGAGACCTTTAGGCATGTTTGCATTGTTGGAACTTCAGGGTAAATTCTGGGACAGGGAAATTGACCGTGAGTAGACATGTCCCACTCCTCTCAGGTGTTACAAATACAAATTCAGCTCTTCCAGGACTTTGCTAAGACATTAGTATATTGCGACTGCTTCAGCAGTGAGTGATGTCACTGATAAGCGCCAAAAAGCATCCACGGTAACATTAACAACAGTTAAAGTTTTATTCTGTCGAAGTATATCTTAATTTAATCTATTTGGAGGACAAAAGCATTTGCGTGATAAATGTGGCATTCACTGACCACAAGAAGTTTTTTGCGACACTCCGTGAGACAACAAGCCTCGTGAATTATGTAGTTCTGGGGGAATTCCATATTTATTGGTTCTGGGAGTTTACTAACGGCGATTTTAAAGCAGCATGATCGGTGCTTATTTTCTTTTGCTTCCAATCCGCTTCACAAGCAACTCTTCTAGTGCCAGATGTTTTGGACGAAATCTGTATGTAATTTCCTACTGACTTACAACCAATCAGTGTGAGGTAACCAAAAGTTCTGCTCAGCGACTCTTCAGGTACTCCGAATGATTCCGAAAAATGCCGTTTGCCTGGCTCGGTGAAGTGGACACACACACATGCTGGGAAGTTCTGGTAAATTTACCCTGAAGTTCCGGTGGTGGAAACACACTTTTTACTTTTATTATTAACAAATAGTGAATAATAATGAATACACTTTTTCTTAGTTTCACTCAAACTAACACTCCAGAAAAAATAAATAAATACATGGTGGTGGTCGTGGGATGGTCTGGGATTTATGGTCTTTTTAAGGGAATCATTCATTTGTGAGTCGTTTACCTCTGGGAACTGTTCAAGAGACTGGCTCTTTTGAATCAAATGAAGCTCGTTTGAAGGGGTGTGTCAAGTGTCTCTCCTATCTCTCTCTCTCTCTCTCTCTCTCTCTCTCTCTCTCTCTCTATCTCTGTGTGTGTGTGTGTGTGTGTGTGTGTGTGAGCGAGCTTGTGTGTTCATGAAAGTCGAAATGAACGATTCTCTACAAAGACTTTGGTCTCATGCACGATGAAGAGCTGTTCACGAGATTTGATTTGATTTCAACCAATTGCAGAAGTTGATGAAACCATGAATGTTGCCTTTTTACCAGAAAATATTTAAATAGTCTCCGACCTTTGACCCTAAATGGGTCACTCATGCTAGGACAGCCCCATCTCCATGGCGGAATTGAATAAATTGATAAAGCTAATAAAAAAGTGTTGTAAAATAATCAGACATGACTACAATAAATTATGACAGGACTAGATTTGTTGTAAATATTGCTGAATAATATTTGAATTTCTAAGCTGTGGATAAAAATGTATTGATGAGACTCAAAAGCCCTCCAATACTGATTTGTGTGTTAATTACTTTGGTGACATTTAGATTTTTAAGCATATCAGACAGAGATGGTTTAACATTGGTTCTGAATCACCAATACTTTGGCAGTGACCTTAACAAGTCTGAACATTTTTCTATTGAAATTAGAAAATAATAATAATAATAACAAGGGTCCTGTAAAATCTGAATGCCAATATTTATTTTCCTTCACAAACTCAAAATTCTGTATTTGTTATATAAAAATATTCTCTTTATTAGAGGGGACCCAGACTTTGAAAAAAAGTCAAATGGATTGATTAGGGCTTTAAACTATCAACCCACCTGTGACACCTGAAAAGCTTTTTCTGAAGACAAAACTTGTATTGGTCTGCAGTCCCGTTCTTCATTATCCTGACAGATCATTATCTACATTAGGAAAATAATTTCTCATTAAAAAATCAGCGTAACAAGATCAGGTGAAGAAAAATAAAAGGGTCACAACCAATTCAATTATTCCAAATGTCAAATAGTAAAATTAGCTTAATATACTCCCGTCCACTCTAGTGTTAAACAAGTTTCATTAAAGCCTTGTCAAATGTTGTGTTTTTTCCCCCGTTGTTCCTTAAGTTAACACCCTGAGAGATCAGTCCTGAGGCTTTGGGTTTAGAGGGAGATTGATGTTCTGTTTGTTTCTCTAACACTTCAGCTAGCTCTCGTAGAGAAAGCACTAAAACATCAATGGAAGGAAAGGGATAATTGGTGTTTAACTATGTTACTTGAAAGCCCGTAACGCTTTTCAGGTAGTGGATGGCCTCTTCCAGGTGCTCAATATCGGACAATTGAAATCCTAGCTGGGATGTTTTAATCTTTAGCGGAATATGTTTTAGTGAAAAAAAAAGCATCTGTGTTATTGAGAAAGTAAGTAATGAAAATAGGTGTTGACTACTTCCAGAAGCTTCCTGGTGTGCAGATTTGCTGAGTTCAGTGCGTTTTTGGAGAGAGAACAGGAGTTCAAAGACTACACTATCGATCCTGTTGACATGCTCCCCTTTAGGGAATGCAAATGTTTCTGTTCTTCAACACAAACATTGAAACCTTCCGAGTAGTGGAACCCTAATTAACTTGGGATTTGAATACCGTGGCCTTTGCATTTGACATTTTCATATTTCAGAAACATATTGTTTTACACTTCCTCAACAAAGGGAACCCTCGTATTTTTCAGACGGTGAAGTTTTATGACGAAAGAGTCAACAGCTGAATTTATTGAACCGTTCCAATAAAAGGCCTTCCACTTGATCCCTGGATAATTTTAGCCGTGCTGTCATACGAATTCCTTTGTGCATGCTTATCTGTCAGACAGCAACATAAACTGAAGGTAAGCAGACAGCCGCTGTACATTATTGTCACTGCTAGGCTGAAAGTACGGCACATGCATTCATCACTGCAGAGGAGATCCCAAGGTAACTACTAATCACTCATGGATTTGCAAAGTCTGGGTCAAGCAGATGGGAGCTAGCAACCACTTTATTGCATCAGCGTCACGATTCTAAAGACAATCATGCGTACTGCTGTCACGTCTAGATTTACAGGGGTTTAAAGGACTTAAGATGCAAGGAACATTTGTTGGTTATGATGGAAGTGGTTGTTTAGGAATGGAAGAAGATACATCTTTGTTTTGGCTAACAGGTTTTACTTAAGTCTGACTAATACGCATCACCAGACCTAAAGATAAAAGATTAATTTTATCTGCTGAGGATCAACTTATGTGAAAACAATTTCCGTTATTAGGTAAATTGTGTTGCTGTTATTTTAAG